GAGCTAACCCTCCCCAAAGCTCTATACAATCACCGCTTTCCAATCTTGTGTAAGCAAAAGAAGATTGTAGTTACAAAAAACTTTCTTGTGTAGTAAAGTCCACCAAGAAGCTAGATGTTTAATATTCACACAAAAAGAATCTAACAAAATCAACTTATCTTAAAAAAGCCGATTATTCTGTTCCTTCCATATCGACCATAAAAGAGCCCTGGCCGCACAATTCCAAAGAACCCAAGCTTTGCCCTTGAGCTGCCTTCCTCCATAACCTTTAGCAATGAAATCCTCAACTCTTCCAGGAATACAGAGAGAGAAATCTAGCAAAGAAGCTATAAACCCCCAAACTTTGGAAACAAAAGGGCAATGGAGAAAAAAGTGGTCCACTGTTTCATTGTTGCTCATACACATTGTGCACACAGAGGGAGAAAGAGTCCAATGAGGTAATTTCCTTTGAAGTTTCTCTGTGGTATTTACCCCTATATAGAACAAAGTCCAAATGAAGAATTTTACCTTTTTTGGGACTCTAAAATTCCACATTAAGCTTGCAGTAGCTGAATTAAGTTTAGGAGAAGGGGACATGAGAGCCATGAAGGCTGAATTGATTGTGAAACGGCCGGATGAGTCCGCTTTCCACCATAAAATGTCCTTTCCATTTCCGATAGTTGCACCTTCTATTTTTCCAGTGAAGTTTGCCCATCTATTCATTTCCCTTTCAAAGAGATTCGTTCTGAAACCAAGATTCCAGGTTGAGGCCTCTGCACACCAACAATCCATAATGGACATACCTTTCTTGGAGGATAACGCAAACAAATCCGGGAAAGTGGTGGAAAGAGGGGCAGAATCAATCCATGGGTCCTCACAAAATCTGACTTGGACCCTGAGGATATTTTGAAGGAGAACTTTTGAAAAGCTCTAAGGTTTCCTTGTATGTCCCTCCACGATCTACCGATAAAAGAACCACCCGAAGGTTTTGTCCACCAACCAAAAGGCTCCACCCCGTAAATAGTGGCTATCACCCGTCTCCAAAGGCTATCTCTTTCCACTGTGAATCGCCATAACCATTTTATTAATAGAGGATTGTTCCTTAGCCTCAAAGAACCAATTCCAAGGCCCCCTGTTTATGAGGCAAAGTCGACCAAGACCACTTCACCAAATTCCCCACCGATCTAGAAATCCCACCGTTCCATATGAAGTCCCGCATAAGCTTCTCCATAGACTTTATGACTGTCTCTGGAGCTTTGAGAATCGAAAAGAAGTATATGGGGATACTATTAAGGACCAACTGAGCAAGAGTAAGCCTACCACCCTTGGAAAGAAGCAAAGAACTCCATTTTTGGAGTCTTTTGTGCATTTTGTCCACCATCGGAGCCCAAAAACTAGTAGTCTTGTGGTTCCCTCCGAGGGGGAGACCCAGATAATTAAAAGGGAAAGAATTCATCTTGCAGCCAAAAGAGGAAGTCCAAAAGCTAACCTCTGACCTTGTGCAATTAACACCGACCTTGTGCAATTAACACCAATCACAGCAGTTTTTGAGACATTCAGAGAAAGACCCGATGCCAATAAAAACACATGAATGAGACCCCACCAATTCTCCATTAATTGAGCTGAAAAGGGGCAGAAAATAAGCACATCGTCGGCATATTGGAGGTTAGTCACCTCTAAAGAACTATTTCCAATATTGAAACCTTTGAGAATATTCCTCTCATTACAAAAGTGAATTAATCTACTCAACGCATCACCCACAATCCACAATGGTGAAGAGAAAAGGGGAGAGGGGATCCCCTTGTCTTAAGCCCCTCTTGGCCTTTATCTTACATCTAGGCTTTCCATTAAGCAACACATAAAAGTTGGTAGAAGAAAGGCACCCCCTAATCCACCTACACCACCGAACCCCAAACCCTTTTGCCTCCAGAACAGCATCTAGGAAATCCCAGTCTATTTTATCATAAGCCTTGTCGAAATCAAGTTTGAGGAGAAAGCCTTTTTTCTTCGAGTTCTTCCACTGACTCACTGTCTCAGAAGCCACCATAATAGCATCAAGGATTTGCCGACCTTTTACAAAGGCTGCTTGGGCATCATGAATAATGCTAGGGAGCACTTCTTTCAAACGGGCAGTAAGCACCTTAGCAATAATTTTGTATAAAGAAGTGACCAGACTAATGGGCCTATAATCTTTGACTTTCAGAGGGTTTGAGTTTTTGGGAATCAAACAAATGTAAGTTTCGTTAGTCTTCTGGTTGACAATTCCCTTCTCGAAAAAATCGTGGAACACAGTAATCAAATCCAAATCCAGTTTAATAATGTTCCAAGCCTTTTTCCAAAAATTCATTGCTCATACCATCCGGACCCGGAGATTTAAGAGCGCCCAAATCTGCCACTGCCTTTCCTATCTCATCCTCTGTGAAAGGGTTTCTAAGAATTCTGCTTCTATATCTTCCCATTTAGTCAAAGAGGTGCCCTGTTCAGTTTGAATTTCAGCTATGTAGGCCTGGTTTTTCTTGTATGCAACCCATCGGTGAAAGAAGTCCGTGTTCTTGTCTCCTTGCAGCCATTTTATTTTCCCTTTCTGCATCCACAATTTTTGCTCACTGAAAGTAGTTTCAATCAAGCACTCTTTTAGCCCGTCTTCTATTGAAATCATCTTCAGAGAGAGAATTAACTTCTTCCTCTCTATCCAAAGCATCTATTGCTTTCATAAGATCCATCTTCTTGAGGCCAATGTGGCCATCTGTTCCAGTTGGTGAGCACCCCTTTCAGACCCTGAAATTTCTTCATGAAACCATAACCCGGCCATCCTTGAAGAGGATTAGTTTTTCACCATTGATCAACCAACAGCATCAAGAGATGGGACTCTAACCATGGATTTTCAAATCTAAAAGGAGTAGGGCCCCATTTAATATCTTCAGATGCCAATTTAATAGGATAATGGTCAAAAGTGGTGCGAAAGAGTCTAGTAGCCCTTTGATCTGCAAAAATTGAGACCCATCCCTTTGATCTGCATATTAGACCAAGTGTTAGAACCATTGTCCAAGGGAGGGTCCAGGAGGTCGGTGTCTTCAATAAAGGAATTAAAATCCTTCATACTTCGAGTAACTCTTCCGCCTCTACCTCCCATTTTTTCCGAAATCCATCAAGCCACATTAAATAGCTCTGCTATACACCAACACCCTTGACAAAGGCTAGCTAAATCCTCCAACTCTCGCCAAAAAATAGCTCTGCCTCTAGTAGAAGAAGGCCCATAGATACCTGAGAACCACCCTGTCCTGCCACCAAAAAATCTGAAATTAAGGGAGACAGAAGGAACCCAAATCTAAAATGGTTAATTTCTGTTCATTCCATAACATAATGATACCCCCAGCAGTGTCCTCTGCCTCAAGAGCCAGCCATCCGATATTAGGAGAGCTCCAAATCGACTTAATTAACCTCCTATCTACCGAGCTTTTCTTTGTCTCCTGCAAACAAACTATGTCTGGCAAAGAAGATCCTTGATCAGAGCTCTTTTTAAGGCAGCTCCCATACCCCTCACATTTCAAGAGATCAGCTTCATTGAGCCACCGAAGGGCCCTCATCTACATTCTGCCTTGCTATCTTTGCCTCATTTTCCCAAGTAGCCAACAGATTCTTCAGCTCCCTACTCTCTGTATTGTTTGATTTTGTACCTTTGTTTTTGTACCTTTGTTTTTATTTGGGATTGGACGAATACAAAGATTGTTCTCCCAAAGAAGAACCACCCCCTTTACAAGGGGAAGACCTTTTGTGGCAAATATACTTCTGGTGATTCTTCCTCCACCCTGTCAAGGTCATTACTAGCTAAAGATCCATTAGACACAAAATCGAGACACTAAGGATCTATCAAACACTTTCAAAGTTCAAGGACGGCAGCATTGAAATTGTAGGGAGGGGAACTTCACTAGAAGCTTGAAACTACCCTTAATAGTTCTTGCATAAGGTTACCACAGAGCGTACCTGGATACACCAGAATTTTATATATACCATGAACAAGAGACCATGGAATGACCAATTTGCACGTTTATAAATGTGATTATGCTCCTAATTGAATCGTTTGATCTGTGTTATTTGTTGTTTTTGTTTTATTTAATATTTTGTTCCAAGACATTGTTCACGTTTATATACCATTGCTAGGTGTGTGCAAGCGTCTCGTCGGAGTCGACGAACATGAATGAGCTCCTCCAATGGAACGACCTCTATGGGGAAGGCGGGTCAAGGAAAAAGATGTCTCTGAGCTACTTCATGTAGAGGTGATTGTATCTTTGTATAGAGTTTCCTGCCCTTTTCCCGTTCATTTCTTTTATTGCCAATTTCGTCTCTGCCCCCCTCAAAAAGAGTGCAAGATCGGAGATCGACTCGTATGGAAATCCATTCTGACCCTCCTCCCCCCATTCCGTTCAATTCTCTATTGTATCATATATAGTTTTTTCTTATCCTCATTTTTTTAAAAAATTCTGTATGCTTTTGTAGGAATTTTACAATTTCCTTAGGTAATTTGACCAAAACCTTTGTCCCTTTCTTGCTCTCCCCCCTTCCCCCTCATTTTGTCGCTCGCTCTTCTGGTTAAACTGGAAAATTCAGTATATATATAACTATATCTTACTAATTAATGAAAGTAATAATTATCATTYTTGGTGCACAATTTGTCGTCTATATTTCTCTCCGAATAAATGTTTGAGTTCCATGAGGATTCAAAGAATATGTGCTATTTAGATTCTTACTTTTTTCACCATTCATAGTGGTACAGTTGAGTTGTAAGGTGCAGGTTTTGCTGTTTGTATTTTTGTTGCACCATTTTGTGATCTTACCATATGGGTGACATGAAATGGAACATGTGATTGGAAATATCTATAGTAAAGAATCAGAGTAACAAGAACATATGGTTCATCTGTTGCATGTATCCGTAAGAATCTATAATTATGAAACCATACGAGGGTAATCCGTAAATTTCATCGATTTTTCAAGATCCTAAAATAACAGTACAACCAAATAGAGAAAATACCACATATTTAATGGGATGAGTATTTGTGAGTGGATAAATTACTTTTTGCTATTTTATTCCTTTTCCAATAGCGAGATAAGCATCTGATTTTGTTATTTTCAATTTGTTCAAGTGGTCAGGTTTATGCACCTTTCTGTTGGTGTGAGAATCTTTTTCATTCTCTGTTTGAGTTTAATGAGAATTAGTGAAATCCTAATTTGATTCCGATTCTTCATTTCTATAATTGCAGATTCATTCAAGCAAAAGCCGCATCATAATATTAAGGCAATTTTTAAGGTTTGAAACATAGTGTTTAAATAACTAAAGAAGTCGATTAATATAAATATGAAATAATAAATAGTGAGCTATTTGTGCCATAATATTTCCTCATGTTCATTTTTTCTTTAATTAAAAAAATTGAATGAATTTACATCATCTTCTACCTTTGACTTGCATGTAAAAATTCGTCTTTTTTTTTATTATTACCAACCAAACACATTGAATGAATTTTTTTTTTTTTTACATCAATTTGCTTCCAAAAACATACAACTCTGGTCTCATTTAATTCTTTATTTTCAAAATTTTGTTTTCTGATTACCAACCAAACGCACCTAAGTTTTAAGAGGAAAAAAAAAATTAATGATATAAATATTTCATCTTCATTATAGTCAAGTTTTATTTCAAACCATCAAAATATTTCAACTTAGCACAAAACCAAGTAGGCAAAAAATTATCCATCCAAATATGGACTCAACCAAAAAATATCTACAAAAATTAGTGTGCTCTTGTACTCGAATCTAGGAGCATATTTATGGTATAAATGACACAAAATTTTAATTCCAAAGTTTGAATTTGGTTAAATTACAAGTTGTGACTCATGATTCGAGTCTATCTAAACGATAAAAAGAAGAATAGCAAAACCTTGTCTAAAATGGAAAGAGATAGACACACTTTCTTTAATCGTTCAACACGAAATATGCAAAACCAAACTAGTGTCAACCAGAAGAATAGTAAGAAAAAATATCGTGGCAATCCAACCCAAATCACAAAGCTCAAAGAATCTTGCACAGAGCTAAAACCATTCAAAGTTGCTGATGCATTAGTTTAATAAGTCTTTAAAATTTCAATTTTTGTCTAATAGATCTCTCACCTCTTCCACCATTTTAAAATTTCACCTATGCAAAATTGGAAAGTTTAATAATGAGATTTTTTTTTTTCTTAGAACAAGTTTAATAAGGAGTTGTCAACACTTCAGACCAATTAGGTAGAAATGGAAGGGTGTTATGGTAATTAACCATGCGTTGCACGTGCCAATCACACAGAGCGGGAAGAAAAAAGATGTGGTATAAAAGTCAGCGAAGTGCAGGTCAGCGATTTTGCTTATCAATGGCTTTGAATATTCAATAAGTTTCTGGAAGTTACTTTTTTCTTCTACTTTGACCGCCAAGAAATCCATGCCTATCAAATCAAATCAAAATCGAATCGAAGTTCTCAATCGCTCCCGTCGGCCATGGCGGCCATGTTCCACTCCTCGGACTTCCTCCTCCCTTCTTCTACTCCGGCCGACAACCGCCGTTCTTCAACCTACGCCCTTGTCCTGCTCAACCAACGCCTCCCCAGATTCACTCCCCTGCTCTGGAAGCACGGTTACTCTGCTCTCCCCCTTTTCGCTCCGCTGTTTTTAGATTTGGGTTTTGATTCTTGGAGGGTTTTTGATGAATTTTCTTACATCTGTCTTGATGTGTTTTTTGTTTTCTGTGTATTGTTGTAGAGCAGCACAACTTCGTCTCTGTGCCGATGGAGGCGCCAATCGCGTATATGATGAATTGCCCTCGTTCTTTCCTCATTTAGACGCCCTGGATGTTCGAAATAGGTTTGCTTCGATGCCTTTTTCTTATCTTTTTGTTATGGGTATGCATTTGTGCCATTAGTTATTTATTTGTTTTTGTTTTGGAAATTTAGATGGTTTACGCGTGAAAGTGTTCCATTTCATAAATAATCTTTCCCTGCATCCGAAGAAAAAAATTCTTTCAGGAGAGGGAGATTATTGATGTCATGGACCACCCCTGGGTTTTACTTTAGAGTCCTGTTTAATACCGACTGTTATGAGAAACTTTTAGGGTTTATTTATTTTTGGTTAAATTGCCTTTTCGGTCCTGGTGGGTTAGTTTTAATTTGGTTCCTTGGATAATTTCAGAAAACGTTACTTCCATTATCGGATGTTAGCAGTTTTTTGAGTTTCATGTTTTGTTTGGACACCAACTCATTGCCTCTCTTGGAAATTACGTGGAGTAAATGTCGTTCAGAAGTTGTTTTTCTTCTTTCAATTAGTTCTTTTACAATAATTGAAACTGTTCTTTTTTTAATGATCATATTGTAGTTAGTGATTTTATGTGAACAGTAATCTAAATCTTTACAAATCACTTGATCACCATTCTTAAAAATAATCTTCTTTCCGGAAAAAGAAGCTCCCAAATATGCCCCCAAGTTTCAAGATGTGATTGATACTAAAAAAACAAATACCAATAGCTGGCTGAAGAAGACATTCTAAAATATTTTGTGGGTATTAGATGTCTACATATCAAGCATTTCATGATAGTTTATATTATTGTTTTAAAATGAATAAACTATTCTAGAATTAGATATCTTGTGTTTTGTTAAACTTGATTATACTTTTTTATATATATATATATATATATATATATATATATATATATATATTTTGCCAGCTACAAGCCAGATGTTATCAGAGGAGACATGGATTCAATTCGGACAGAAGTACTGGATTTTTATGCTAAGAAAGTACGTCACTCTTCCCCTCTCACCCTCCAAAAACGAAAGAATCCATGCCCTGTTTGATAGCAATTTCATTTTTAGTTTTCCATTTTAAAAAACTATTCATGTTTCCTCCCAATTTCTTTTGTATCATTTTCACCTTTCCTAAAAATACATTTTTAAAAATTTAGAAACTGCTTTTTTTAGTTTTCAAAATTTGGCTTAGATTTTGGGAACATTTTTAAAAAGTTGATAAAAAACCAAAGAAACATAGGTGGAAGTATTGTTTATAAGCCTAGTTTTAAAAAACAAAAAACCAAAAATAAATGGTTATCAAACAAATCTTAACTATTACCTTCCATTTCCGGGTCATGCCTAGTTGTCATCCTTTTAGTATTGACACACGTTTTCATCTTCCCATTGATGATTCTTTCTACATCTTGTTTGTAACTTTGCCATTTTTACGTTTTGGTGGAATTCAATTGCATTACATATTGTAATTACTATGTTGTTTATAACGTATAACATTGCTAGCTCAAGATATCCATATTCACATGGTGCAGGGAACCAAGGTATTTGATGAATCTGAAGATCAGGATACCACAGACCTACATAAATGTGTTGCATATATTCTTCAGTCTATGCCAAGTCAGGAGTCTAATGTAGGTTGGATCAAGATGTAAATCTTTCTATTGTGGCTTGTTTATTAAGCTGGGACTTACTTTTCAGATTGGCATTATAATATTGAGTCGTTGATTTTCAGCTGTGCATAGTTGTTGCTGGAGCTCTAGGTGGGCGGTTTGACCATGAGATTGGAAACATCAATGTTCTTTGCCGATTCTCAACCACGCGTATAATCCTTCTGTCTGATGATTGTCTTATTCATCTTCTGCCAAAAACTCGTGCTCATGAAATCCAAGTTCACTCATCTGTTGAGGGTCCACACTGCGGTCTTATTCCAATTGGAATGCCCTCTGGAAGCACTACAACCACTGGTCTCAAATGGGATTTGAGTAAGTACTGTCAACATCTACTTTCAAATAGTTCCCCTCCCACCCTCTGGATCTAATGCTGTTTAATCTCAATGACTGTGTCATGGCATATTGTATTGATGGGCATCCTATGCTGTTTATGCTTGGTTTTAAGCAACTAAATGCAAAATGAGTTGACGATGTGATCCATCAATTTTATTCCTCTTATGGCACACGATTTTTGCTCAACCTTTTTAGCTTTTCAGATTCCCAAATGAACAATTTCAACAAAATCTTTCAATTTCTTCATCATTTTCAAATAGAAACCCATTAACTCGTATGCTTACAAGATAAAGGGGACGTTTGGATGAAATTTGGTGATGCTCCTAAATTTGTAACTCCATTCTCTTTTTCCAATTTGCACTCTTCTCTTTCTGAACCGTTTAATCCAATTTGGAAGCTTTCTTTTTTTGTAATTCTGATGCGTGCTGTTAACTATTTGGTTGGTATCAATGTCCATTCCAGCTGACACAGAGATGAAGTTTGGGGGCCTAATTAGCACTTCAAATATAGTTAAAGGAGAGAAAGTAACAGTGCAATCTGACTCTGATCTTCTATGGACGATCTCATTAAAAAGCACTGGGACAGCGCACTCTAGCACGTAAAGCCAATGGAATCTTGGTAGTGCTCTTTCTCCATTTAGAATAAGAATAGTTTTGAAGATATACCCCCTTGATCTTAAGTTCCTTTTTAGTATTTGGTTCCCAATTTAATTTATTTTGCATGTATTTTAGTACAACATTTATCTCTCTCTCTCTCTCATTTTGGATCTCCGTGCATTATATTATATGCCTTTTGTATTTGGTAACAATATTTTTCTTGAGAGCTTAAAGCATATTTCGTCAGCACCCTTTTGATTCTTAATACTGTTTTTGTAATAATTATGATAGAAATTGTTTCGTACCGATCGAAGTTTGAATATTCACTCCTACGTGTTGTTAAACTTAAAAACTAAAAGAAAAAAAAAAGTGAAAATCAACGAGTTAGTAGTTGGAACATATATAAGTTTGGATTGACTTTCGTCGTTCCTTTATCCGAATATATATATATATATATACACTATCTGGACTTTAGATATAGTTAAGAGTTATAGTCATGGTTTGCTTTTGATTAAGCAAGATGGCCCTTAGAATAATTTTCTAATGTTCCAAGATCTAATAAACTTTCGCAGATAGAAAAAATTCATGACAAAATTCACTCGTTATGAAATTAAATTTCATGGGGAAAATTGACTACGAAAGTCTTGGGAAAGAAATTTCACAATTTGTAACCATGGTGACGAAAACATATTTGGTGGAAAACATATTTGTAACCATGGAAAAGAAATTAAGTATAGTTGCTGATGCTTTGATTTCATCATAAAAAAACCCTTCAATCTGTGCCTCTTAAGGGTGGTTTTGGGTGAGTTTGTGAGATATAGAGCGTGTTTGAGTGTGTTTGTGGGATTTGAAGTGTGTTTAGTGAATTTGTGAGATGTGCAGTGAATTTGGATGTGAGTTCAGGACAAATTGTTTTAGCTTTGAAGAGTCGGTGAATTTGGGTGAGTGAAGCACATTTATTTTATTTTATTTTGGCTTTTAAGGGTTACTTTTGGTGAATTTTGGCATGTATAGACAACTTTAGTCACGTTTTTTTTTTTTACTTGAGCATTTTAGGTACATTTCAGCTACTTAGGAGCAAAAGACACTAATTTAGTAGTATTCGAAGTCTTATGACTTAGATTTATGGTGGTAAGAAAATTTAAGTATCGTATCTATAATAAAAAATAATATTGCTAGGAAACAGAAAAAAAACGTCCAAACATTGATAATACTTTCTAACTTTTTTGACTAATATTTTTTCTCCGTTGCGCCGTTACTAGAAGGTACTCGACTCCTTCTAGAAAAGTCAGGCCGATCGTCTTGGCTAAAAAAGAATGAACTTAGTCAATGTGAGGGGTAGGGAGCGCCTGCCCTATCGAAAATGACGAGCGGCTCGACTGTTTGGCAAGTCGGTCGAGGGGGGTCCATATCTCCCCAAATCACTTATTCAAAGCTTAAAAGCGATTTAGCTTAACACATGCAAGTCGAGCTGTGATTCACTAACAGATACGTGTCAAAATCAAATGACTCAGGGCACCCAATCGACAGCGTTGGGAGACCTTCCCTGCGGGAACTCCAGCAGAAGTCTAAGGCTCTTCCCAGCTATCAGGGCAGTTAAAACCCACTAACAACAAACATTTTTTGTTATACTTACAATTCTTCTGCTTTCGTCGACAATTTTATTGCATCAGCAAAAATCTTATTCTTTTTTATCTTCCTATTTGACTGATGTGGACAACAAACAATTATAACAAATATCAAAATATCAAAATTTCTTTCTTTTTTCTATTTTATTTGAAGATATGGGAGATTAGTTGAAAAGATACGTGGGAAGAGGATCAAGTTGGCCTTTGGATTGGAGCCCAAAAATGTCAATGCAATTATTAATGTGGGTGGCTTCGCGATTTCTATGAACACAACATCCCAGGTAAGTAATGACCTTTTGGTACCTGCCAATTGTACATACATGAAATATCTAGTTGAATATAATTATATTATCTCAATGTCACTGTCGAGTTCTAATTAGGCATCAAAATACAATCAATAGAGTATCAAAGTGTAATTGATAGAGCAGCACTACATCGATACTAGATTTCTGTATGTAGGTCAAAGTTTGAACTAAAAAACAAAGACATACATGACACCTACTCAATACTTACGAGAAATCGACATCAACAAAAGAATTTGACATCTACATGAAAGAGCATCCATGACAGAAATTATCGAGAAGTATATTTCATAACCCTCTAAACAATGAATATATATATATATATATATATATATATATATATTACTCGTCTAGATTTTTAATACTACAAGGTATTATTTTCTTTTTAATCACTACTTTTCAGGTCAGCACCGTATTATAAATAATTCGAGTATATTAATATTAAAAAGTTATTTATGATTGCAAAATTACATAGAATTTTTTGCTCTCGAAGCCGCTTAATCGAACGGCGAATCAGAGACCAAAGCTGAAGCTTCGTTCCCTCGCATTTTCTTTGGCGCCAAAATCTGTCATCTTGGACATTGAGTTAGGGTTTTCGGTTCTTCCTCTTCTCTTAACAATCTTTAATCTTATTATAACTCAAATACAGGGAGAAGTTTACTAGGTTTTAATCCTCAATTTTCTCGCTATACTATTGATGCGAGGGTTATTTTCTGATCTACTATGGACGGAGGAGTTGCCGTCGATTCCCCGACCATTAAGCCCATTAACAAAGGTATTGTCCACAGAATTTGCGCGGGGCAAGTGATTCTTGACCTTTCTTCCGCCGTCAAGGAGTTAGTCGAGAACAGCTTGGACGCCGGAGCCACTAGCATCGAGATTGCCTTGAAAGATTTCGGGGAAGAGTGGTTCCAGGTCATTGATAATGGCTCCGGCATTTCTCCTACCAATTTCAGGGTATTTTTTTGGATTCTGATACCTTTTTTTTTTTTTGAATGATGATAGTCTGTAATGAAGCCTCTTTTCTTTTTTCACCATTAACGATGGGACATACGAATTTTTCATTGTATGACTGCTCTTCCGTTTCGTTGTTCGTAGCTTCAGCGATTCCCTCTCCGCTGAATAGGCAAAATGTATGCGTGATTATGAACGTAGGGATGATAATTAAATCTGGGCTTTTAACTACTCTGATCGTCAATCATTGATACTTTGAAACTCACTAATGCCCGGAAGGTATATTTAGGTTGAGTTTGGGACGACAGTTAGAAGTACTTCTTTTATAATCACTCTCAAAAGAAATCAGTGTTTCCCTAAAAGTGGAGTGTTTCTTAAGTGTCTTGAGAACTTTAGTCTTTAAGAATCAAATTTGATTTTTTTTTTTTTTTTTGGTTGCTTTTTGGATAACTGGTTGCTCTCCTATACTCCTGGAGCACCCATGCCCACCCCGAGAATCAAATTTGAATATATAACCGAATACTATGAAAATCTTGAGCAAAAACTGGTTTTAATAGGTAAAAGCATTTTCACCCTCTCAAAAGTTATTCCAAACCCACTCTCTCTTTATGAATTTGGTTTTTTTTTTTTTTTGTTCTTGAAGCTTTGGTTGGTACTAGTGCATTATTTACACGGACAAACTCGCATACGGAAAGAGGTAAACACTATATCTGATATGTTTGTTTTCTTAACGCTGCAGGTTCTTGCTCTTAAGCATCATACGTCAAAATTGTCTGATTTTCCTGATCTCCAGTCTTTAACCACGTATGGTTTCAGAGGAGAGGCACTAAGTTCTCTTTGTTCTCTTGGGAATTTGACTATTGAAACAAGGACAAAAAATGAGCCAGTTGCAACGCACTTAACTTTTAATCATTCAGGACTACTAGTTGCAGAAAAGAAAACTGCACGCCAAGTTGGAACAACTGTCATGGTTAAGAAGTTATTCTCGAATTTACCTGTGCGTAGTAAAGAGTTCAGTCGCAATATTCGAAAAGAATATGGCAAGCTCATTTCATTATTGAATGTAAGTTTTCATTCTATGTATATACATTCTAGCATTGGTTGGTTAGGTAGGATGCTAAGTAGGTCTTCAGGAGATGCCAAACATTGGCTGTAAGAAGTCTTTATTTGTTCAAATATGGAGACTTGGATTTTTCCTACCTTCTAATTAAAATTTTGATGCATTGAAAGAGTTAACGCACACAACTATAACATGTTAAAGAATGTAATTTACTTTGTGGATGCCTATGATTATATTGATAAGGATTTTATGTCTCATGCCTAGAAGAAAAAGGGCTTGAGCATAGATGGGAGGGTGGATGCTCTATTGTGTACTATCTTATGAACTGTTTTTTGTAATATAGATATATATAATTGTGTATTTGTGTTAATAAATTTGTAACTCCATTGGATTTTTTCTCCTTTGTATACTTCATTTGGTGCAATGAAGAAAAAAGTGTAAAAAATTAAAAAATCACTCCTAAAGTATGGTAGTTATTACAATTGTACCAACCCTCAAACTTTCACAAGTGAAAAAATTGGACCCCTAAACATTGAATAGTAAAAATTAAACCCTCAAACTTTCATAATTGAGAAAATTATACCCCTAAATTTTCAAAGGTAAAAAATGAAACGCTAAAAAAGGTGCAATTTTCTCACTTATACAAGTTTGAGAGTTTAATTTTTACAATTGAATTTTCAGAGGTCTAATTTTTTCAATTATGAAAGTTTGAACTTTGAAGTTTAATTTTTACCATTGAAAGTTGAGGGGTGCAATTGTAACACATACTTCAGAGGTGGTGGGTGCAATTTACCCCTAAAAAAATATATATTAAGTATTTTCATCTCTTTTATGAACTTTGCTGGTTACTTATTGCAGGCTTATGCTGTCATAGCGAAAGGAGTTAGGTTTGTATGCACTAATTCTACAGGGAAACATGCAAAATCTGCAGTATTCAAAACTCAAGGAAGTGGTTCCCTCAAAGATAATATCATAACAGTGTTTGGGATGAACACCTTCAATTGCTTGGAGTCTGTATCTATACTTTTATTAGATGATTGCAAAGTTGAAGGATTTGTATCCAAGAGTGGACAGGGAAGTGGGAGGAATTTGGGAGATCGGCAATTCTTTTTTGTAAATAATCGACCTGTGGATATGCCTAAAGTGGGCAAGCTTGTAAATGAGCTATATAAAAGTGCAAACTCCCGACAATATCCAATTGCAATCTTGAATTTCACTCTTCCATGTAAAGCTTGCGATGTCAATGTAACTCCCGATAAGAGAAAAATATTTTTCTCTGACGAAACTCATATTCTGCAAACATTGAGGGAGGAATTACTGAAGATCTATTCACCCACTAATGCCTGTTATTCTGTGAATAAAGTTGAAGAACCTACTAAACAAGTAGATAGCCTTGAGCTGTGTTATGATAATGGTAAAGTGAGTATGTTATTGGCACATTTCTCACCAGATGGAGATGATCTTAAAGATGCTCCTTGCCATAAGCCTTTGGCTGATGATGATGATTCTCTCAAGATAATTAAAAATGTGGAACAATCCTCACATGCTATTGAGGTAGTGAATAGTGATGGTGAGGAAAATATAACCAGAAAGGACTTCGCTCTTAGAGTGCATGGCATGAAGAAGGCTGGTTCTCTTTTAAAGGATCACGATCAGCATAAGAAAACTTATCTCAGTGACAGGAAAGGCGAACAAGTTACTCCTTCCTCTCCAAGTGTGACTGGTAGTGGAATTGATTCAACCCGTGTTCAAGCATCACTTGACAAGTTTGTAACCATAAATAAGAGAAAGTATGAAACTTTATCTGCACCGTTGTCTGAAGTGCCTGTCTTAAGAAGCCAATTTCTTAATAATCAATGGAAGAAAAGCTCTGCTGATAAGCCTTCCAAAGATGTGAAATTCACACATGGCAAACACCCAGCAGTTGATGGTTATTTAGAAGGGAATGATGATGACAACTACATACAACTAAAACCAGACGGAATCTTCAGTAAAACTGGTCTTCCACTTTCTTCTGAGGACCATTGTGATGATGAAGAAACAACAGAGGTATAGAATATAATCTCTTACATTTTTGGGGGGATGTTTGAAACAACTGGGAGTATCATGAACCATATAGATTATTAACTTTGTATACAGTTTCCTTTCTTGATTACAAACAAATTATTTATCCCTTGTGAGAACTCTTAGCATCACTTTACTGTATAAGTGAATACTATTTTTCCCCCATTCGGAATGCAACTCAAGATTTTACACGGTAGAGTTTCATATAATATCCACAAGTTGATTCCCTGTAGAAATAAAATTATCTAGCTCTCCAAATAATTGATGATTTAGAGTGGCCAATTGCTCTAGAAATCCAAACTATTGGCGCAGAAGAGAAAAGTAAATTCTGTTTGTCAATAAAAAAAAATCACTGTATGTCCATAATTTAAACATAAGTACTTCACTAAATTATTCCCTCTAGAATATTGTGCATTTATGTATAACTCAATGTAACTTCAATCATGTATTTTAATCTGAGAGAAAATGGGAATAAGTCCATGCTTGGTGGCAAGTGACAGCCTCAGTATCTTTGATTTAATGGCATTATGGGTGTTATTATTTATTGCAAAAAAATGATGCCTCAAAAATTTCCTGGCTCTTTATGCGATCATTTCTCTTGTAGGAGTTTTCGGAGGAAGCCAAGGTGCCTCCTGTAATAGAATCAACTGCTACACCTACCAAGGATCTCAAGATTATGTCTGAGGACCTTTCCAACTCTTCGGTACATCCTTCTGGTTCTATGACGGAAAGCTCCAGTCCTCAGCTAAAGTTATGTTCAACTTTTCATTTTGATTTTCATGGGCTGAGGGAAAGGAGGTTGCAGAGGCATTTGAGATGCAAATTGAATGGCTATACATGTGAAAGAAAAGAGTTGAAATGGTCTCTGAAATACTGACATTGTCAATATTATCTATCCACTCTTATCATGTTTTCATATTATGAATAATGGTTGACTTTTTATTATCATTTTCAGCCACTATGCTGCTGCTACTCTGAAGCTTTCCCAACCTGATAATGAAGACAGGAAAGCAAGAGCTTTAGAGGCAGCTGCTAGGGAGCTGGACAGGCTCTTCAGAAAGGAAGATTTTAGTAGAATGAAGGTCTATCTAATCTCATCTTGCTTTTTCTACGGTTTCTAATGCTGCTTGTTGAAACTATTGGTGTCAGTAATTTGATGTTGACCATATCTTTCAATATGTGCTTTTACGTGCAATATCCATATATTACAAGCTTTGACCATTCTTACTAGTATAAAATGTCACTGATGGCATTTGATTACTTGCTCTAATTTTCACTTCTCCCGATACCTCATTAGGGTCTATATCCATGTTTGGTTGTAGCCTCCTAGAGGTAATTTCTTGCACTGTTGAGTATTTTTTAGTGTTTGTAAAATATACGACATTCTTGGCTTCTTGTTGGGGGAAAGGATGAAGCTTAACATCTGTAGTCTTAGCTGGTCCCAATCCCATTGCATGTATAAGTAATTTGTTCTCCGTTGATTCTTTTTCCAACCGAAGATGAAAGGACCAGTGATTGAATCTATTTTATAGGTGATTGGACAATTCAACCTTGGATTTATTATTGGGAAATTAGATCAAGATTTATTTATCGTTGATCAGGTGATTTTCCTTGCTTCATCTTGGATTCTTTTGTTTATATTGCCTTCATGTTTCTACCAAAAATAACTGCATCATTGTAACCATTCTATTTTAGCATGCTGCTGATGAGAAGTACAATTTTGAGCGACTGTCACAGTCGACAATTTTGAACCAACAGCCCTTACTACGGTGAGGGGCTTTGCTACTCTTTATCTTTAATTTTATTTTAGTTTTTGTTAGAATGAGAATGAGAAACTATGGTGCTAAATTCGCTGGTTAGCACAGCACTGATTGGAGAAGTGAAGGAAAAGAAAATTTGGTATGTAACCCTTCCCTACTTTTCTAAGGTCTTCTTTAATTATTCTTATAGGCCGTTGAGGTTGGAATTATCTGCTGAAGAAGAAGTTGTGGTTTCAATTCACATGGACGTAATCAGGTGATATTTCATCTCTGATTGTCAGCTCAATTTGGTAGTCTCTCTCTGTGCGCTTAAAGGGGTCCTACAGAGAATAAACGGTCAGAAATTCATTCATAATAGTCCTACCACGGATCATAACTATGTCATGACTCGTAACCTACTTATTATTACCATATCTATGTAGTGCGTTCAATATTTGAGTTGTGCGATAATTCAGCTTAACTTTTATTACTCAAACTAACTAGTTTCAAGTTATTATGAGGTGCCATTCTGTGCTGCATATAATTCCAATATCTCTCTTTCCCTCGTTAAAAATTTTGCTTATTCTTTAGGTAAACCTTGTCCTCGTGTTCTGTAAATATCAAATTCTATGTTCTTTGATGACAGGAAGAATGGATTTACTCTAGAGGAAGATCCACATGCTCTACCTGGAAATCGATTCAAATTAAAAGCTGTCCCTTTCAGTAAAAATATAACATTTGGAGTTGAAGGTGGTCCTCATTTGCTCCTTACAGTCATTTCTACGGTGATAGTCCTTTATAGTTAGTATTTTAGCAACACCATTCATAAGCATTAGTTAAGTGAAGACAAACTTTTTTTTATATATAACTATATATATAAGCTAGTGTTTGAGCCAACCGTCTAATCCTATTACATTTGGTTTGTCAAGAAAACTTAAAATGATTTTAAATATTAGGTAGCTGACCACCTTGATTTGCACCCATTTCCTTTAACCCCTTTAATTCTTTTTACACGCCCTAATGACTATTAAGCCCACTCATGGTGGTTAGGGCATTTATATTTAAGTACACCCAATCAGATAGAGAGCTAAGGTGGGGGCAAAAATTAAAAGCAATTATTCAAGAATCAGAAAACTGTTAAAGTTGAATTGCTTGTACTTTGTTTATGAACTATAACATGCAATGCAATTGCAACTACAAATTTACAGAATGACAATGGTCGTGTATCTGAACAGATGTTAAGGACCTTATTTCTACTCTTGCTGATAGTGAAGGGGAGTGTTCTATAATCGGATCTTACAGGATGGACACGGCCGATTCAGTCTGCCCTTCCCGGGTTCGAGCAATGCTGGCATCACGCGCATGCAGATCCTCTGTTATGATTGGGGATCCTCTAGGGAGAAATGAAATGCAGAAGGTAACACTCCTTTCTCTCTTAAATCTTAATAGTAGTTGCATTGCATCTCCTGAAATGGTGATTTGTTTCAGATACTTGAGCATTTGGCAGAGTTGAAATCTCCTTGGAACTGCCCTCATGGAAGGCCAACCATGAGACACTTGGTGGACCTCACAACCATTCAAAGGTCAGATGAAAATGACATTTAACTCTTGAAGGTTTCTTTTCTTCTCTGTCTCTCTTTTTGGCTCAGAATGTTGTTTTTAACTTATCTTGGGGAACCTGGTTTCTCTGGTTGCTAATTGGTAAAAAGTTAGAATTATTCCCATCCTTGTGTAAAATGTAAATATGTAGGAACTAACACAACTATATTATTATTAGTAAAGGCATCATTCATGCATCGGCTTCTTGCATCTTCTGTTTGTGCATGAGGTGAACTGTCATTTTAACTTGAAACACTAACCTAGTAATATATTCTTAGTTAACTTACAAGTCAAAATCCCTTTCACTTGCAAATCTTAAACTTCCGATACAAATCTTGAACTTCCAATAGGTTCCTAAACTTTAAAAGTGTCGATAACGTATTTATTTTTTTTTTCTTTTACCTATTTCCAAATTTTTGCTTAAACATAAAAAATATTTTTAGAAATTTGTAATAAGTTTCATTTTCAATTTTTTTAAGATAAAAAAAATTAAAATGGACGGACTAAATTTGTAAGGTAGTGTTAATTTGAGAGAGTATAAACTTAGTTCAGCAATATTTACATATATCTTTAATCTAGGATTTCTATTCTACTTTAACTAAAATAAAATTATAAATATTGTTGGAGGTTTTCTGTAATCTTATTCTTTTTGTTGATTAGTTATTAAGAGTTAAGATTTCATACTTATTTGTTTAGAAAATTTGATTAGACAATTAATTTAATTGTAAAGTATAGACTATAAATTTTCCTCATATTATTTTTAAACCCAAATGAGATTGTTGCCATTGCTTTAACAATTTTATTAAATTAACACAGCGATGGACAGATGTCAGAAGATAACTGGTTCACAGCCGTCAATTACCAACGCATTCGTTTATTAGCAAAATTTCAAAAACAATAACAAAATTTTAAAAACTATTTTTTTACGCACTAACCATATTGTTTTTATACATCTTTAAAAAAAGCCTTAAAAAACTAGTGCCTTTTTAAAATTATTTTCAAATAATAATCTTAAGATTTCTGATACATGAATTTGGCTAAAAATTAAAATGCATTTTCAAAAGGTAAAAAATAACAAAAATGGGAGATCATTTGATAATCGTATGGGATTTCAAAAATGGGAGCTCATTTTTAAATTTCATAAACTTAAAAAGAGCTAAGAGTTTAAACAATGTGAAAAACATACCCAAAAAAGGTATAGAAACTTTTTTTATATAATTTGGCTAGATTTTGAAAACATTCTCAAACGCAAATAATGATTCTAATAACAAAAAAGAAACCTATAACAACCTTTTTCAAATTCGATTAAACAGATCAGGAACTAGTGATTTTAACCATACCTTGTATGTCTGACATTTTCCAAATAAATCATCACCCTTCCCTTGGCCATCTGATTCTGAACCATAGCACTCTCCAAATTACCAGATATCATAATTTTGGACAAGCTGGATCATAAACTATGAAGAAATGAGAAAAACAAGAACACACGTAACTCGGTTCAACTCGTACTTAGCAACTCTAAGCTAGTGAAATAATACTTCTCCTGGATTGCAAGATTAAGCAGATTCAAAAATAGCAGTTCCAGAGATACACAGTGAAATAGGCCACATAAAGCTCAAAAATTCAAGCCACAACCATGAAACCATTATCAAATGCTTGGATACTAAGAACCACGCAAAATCATATGCTTGGTGGTGCAGCTTCCTTTTTCTCTTCCGAGGACCCAACTCCACCTTCTTTGACGACTTCCACAGGCTTGGCAGTTTCGGCATTATCGCCGCTTTTTTCTGGCTTTGACATCTCTTGTTCTACAAGGAAGAACAGAAAAATCATTAACACGACCAATTAATCTTTCAGCCATATAAAGCAAAAAATTTAAGTAAACACAAGTCTGGACAATGTAGTACTAAGACTGTCTTCTAGACACTAGCATCGCAAGGTTCAACCACTTCAGATACAATCGAGAAAAAATTATGCACAATATATCATTCAGCATTGCTCATGCAAGACAGGAACTTACCATCATCATCACTCTCATCGGAGTCATTATCGTCGCCCATGTCGCCCATGTCGCCCATGCCCATGCCCATGCCCATGTCACCCATACCACCCATACCGCCAAATTTCTGCAAGATAAAACAGTGATTAGAACGAGATATGGGGTAGTACAAAACATAGCAATCACTTCAACATGAACTTACCGAAAAGTCCATGCCCCCCAAATCCAAGTCACCTAGACCAGCAGTTCCTGCGCAGCCAAAGAGATCATCAACACACATTATCAGTCAGTAAGAGAGGATGAGAAGTATAATACATAGTAATAATCCAACAACATAAAGCACAACTAAACTACCATTATCTTCATCCTCATCCACCCATTTGTCCCAATCTACTTTGACGTAATGGGGTGGCTTTCCATCTCCACGCAATAGCTTTTTCCACCATCCCTTCTCTGCCTTTTCTAAAATACAGAATATGCTTCGAACTCCAATGTTAACTTTACTTTCCTGATACAACAAGTAATCTGTATGTCAAAATCACCAAGTAGTAAGATTCAATGACTCCCAGAATTTGTTTCCCAATTATTTCAACCCAATTTTCAAAACAATAAACCGAAGAGTTATGCCAGGAATCTAGAGAGAAGTAATATGTCAACGTACTTCAACATTGACTTTATCGAAAAGCTCCAACTTCAGTTCATAATGGTGATTCTCTGAACCAGCACTGCCTGAGAAAGTGAATACTCCATCTGGCTCAAGATTAACCTTAGAATCCTTCGAGTCTGGAAGTTGCACAGTGATAAAGACCTTGTCCAATCTCTGGGCCCACTTCACCTCAGGATGGCGGCTACATTGTATTAGATGTTATCAATAACCAGAGATGGGATAAACAATCGCAACAGTTTCAAAAGTCATGTTTATAAAAAAAGTCAATCAACGAATCAATTTAACAAGATCAAAATTTAGAGCCCACGCTATTCAAGGAGCACAGCCACCAACACAAAATTTACTACGACCAGCCAAGACGCTGTTTGGGAATAAATCAATTCAGCCGAAAAAAGCAACAAGACAAAGAGCCTGAGTTGACTATGTTGACTATAATCATAATATCGCCTCAACAAGAAGCCACAGCTGTGATGCGGACCCAACAACCGAAAGTTTAATTTCAAGCTACTATAAACTTAAAAGAAAGTGCATATCCATCAAATGTATAGTACATGATGTCAATAAAAGAACTTGTTCGCAACCTCGAATATATATGATTTGACCAACAATCCTGGGACCCTTAGAGAAATGACCGAACATAAGAGAAAAATAACACAAAAATATATAGTCAATACAGGAATAAAAAGTTGCAACCCCCCAAGTGAGAAAAGCAGGAACCGTTAAAACCCTCAATAAATCACCTCAATGTTCCTCACAATACTAAGCCCAAATACGAGCCCTTACAGAGTCCAAGCCCGTAAGAAACAGCAATTCAAACGCAACCACCAGCACTTCCTCGAGAGCGCAACACAATTCAACCCACCCACTCACAAGAGGACTCCGATTCCCATAACCAAAGTAAAAAGAGAGAATAATCCAAGCCGAAGCTACAGTCATGTGATGAATATCAAGCCAGCCAACACAGTAGGAGAAGTAAAAACAGCGAAAACAACGATCGCAAAATCACAGATCGTAAAAAATGAAACTCGACAGAATCAGTGGAAAAATCCGGTGCTTACCTCATTGCTTCGGACTATAAGAAGATTGAGAAGAAAGTGAAAAACCCTAGAGAAAAAGAGGAAGATGAAACCGAAACCCTAGATTCAGAAGATAAACCAAGCGGGTTCTCGAAATAAAAGAGCGTGAAACGACGCTTCTAGTACTTTCTAGCTACAATCCTCCTCCCTTTGGACGGTATGTCGTCATGGGCCCGGTTTCTTATTGGGCTTCCGCTTTCCCAGGCCCAGTTTATTGGGCTTGGATATGATGATGACAAGCCCAGAAATAGTGGGCTACAATAGCCCAAAACAATCAAAAGTAGAAGTTTGCTGCAAATATAACAGGATTTTTGGCTAATTTTATTTTTTCCCTTCTTGAACTAAGATAACAATACAATTGATTAATAGCTCTAGCGTGTACTTCATCTTTCGAGATTGGAGGTTCGACGCTTTATATCTCTAAAGTGCTGTACTAAAAGAAAAAACAATACAATTAATTAATAATTAACTTATTAAGAATGATCATCTTCTCATTTCTCCGATATCTCCAGAGGTACACAAAACTTTATCATGTTTTTGGACAGTGTCATTCTTAGTTTGTGCTACGTGATCGACATAGACAGATCCTCATATTTTTTATTAGGCACTTAGTTTTAGCAGGAACAATCTCACTTCAGTATTTATTTTCTCTCCTTTTAGAAACTAAAATTAACTCAATATAATTTAATTTCACGAGATGTTAATGGAATGTTGTTGACTTTTTCTTTCTTTTTTTTTCTTCTTCTTTTGATAAAGGAATGTTCTTGACTAATTGATCTTAGTCCTTCTGAAATTTTCACAGGCTCTGGAACTTTGACTATTTTTTCTCGATAACTTGGCAGCTAGTAAAATTATTACAAATATAGCAAGATTTAATACACCCGTGTTTCAAAAAAAAAAAAATAGAGAGACCCGTGATTATGGTGAATTAATATATAAGTTAATAATGGTTATTATGATTATTGTTAATCAATGTTTTAGTTAGCTTATGTTAATCAATCACTACAACATCAAATAAGACTCCACTAAATTATTATTATTATTATTATTTTCTTTATATCCGTGGGCGTCTGGACCAATTTACGCGCAACTCGACTAATCTCATGGAACAACCGCTTGATCCTACAACATTTGGTGTCGGAAAACACATCGAATTACTATTATTTGATTGATTAATTTAAAAAAATGGTTGTCTTTATCATTTTTTTGTATTTGTAATCATTTGTGGAAAAACTATAAATTTACCGGAGTATAAAAGAAACTACCTATTAAAAAATAAATTTCCCGTCGAATTTTGAGTGCCTACTATATTTCAAATTTTAATTTAGGATACTCCCTGTCACGATCAACCCTTTTGATCACTGAAATGATCAAGTTTGGTCGCGAAGTTCAGACTTATGTTATTGATGTACAAAGAGGACTTGCAAGACAAAATTAACATTCCGACACTCGAGTCAATACACTATCCAAACTATACTTAAAAGAAAATACAATTTTGTACTTTGCGTGAGAGACGGAAGTTTCTATTATAGAGGTGAGTTCCCGACAGAGCTTCCAACCACTTAGAATCATGGTGTTTTGTTGGAGAACATATATGTCACCTTTGTACCTACAGATGTTCTTTAAGTTCGACTGGTACATGACAATGATCGATCGATGGATAAGATATGGCTTAACCTAGTGTCGACTGTCGAACTGTTTAAACTGACTTAAAGTAGTTATTTAATGCTAACTCTCATTTATTTCAAAAAATAATTATGTTAATGGTTAATTAATTAATTGTTGGGTATGAATTTTAATATTAACTAATGGATAAGATTAATACTATAATTAAAAATAAAGTTAAATTACAAGTTTGTTCTCTAATTGTTTTTCATTGGTAAATTACAAACTTGGGATCTAAATTAAGAAAATAAATACATATATCTAATAGTTGGGTGACTTACTAGACACCTTTTAAAAATTGGTTAGACACAATAATAAACAACTTATTAAACTTTTTCTAAGTGCAAAGACTTATTATATACCATTTTAAAAATTTAATAACTAAATTTGTAATTTAAATTAATCACTAAAAGAAATCCATTGCTTTTTTAGTAGAACAAAGGTAGAGACCGGGATTGAACCTCAATTCTGTAGAGAACAAGATGCTTTTAACTCCAAAGCTAGTGTCGACCGAAATCCATATAACTTTCAAATTGAAGATTTGATGGAACTGTATGTCCAAACAAGCTTGGAAAAAGAGGTAATTATAAGATTTGATTCAAGTAATTACTGGAATATCTTTTTACATYAAAAGGAGGGGTGGGCTTTCCTATGGTACTCCCTCTACACGATAAAATAAATCAATATCATCCGTTCATAAATCAAAATTATATTTTTTCATCTCAAATAGGAAATCTCCTATATTATCCAAAAAGAAAAAAATACATACATATATATATATCCTAAGTTTTGGAAGGTTTAAAAAAGAAAAAAACCAACCTTTTTTGTCCATCAATGATTTGGTGGTAAAAAATGAAACGTCTTAATGTAAGAGCAAGAAATTTGTTTGTTAAAAGAAATGTCTGATTAAAAAAAAAGAGGGAAAGCAAGAAATTTGTTTTATATATATATATATATATATATATATTTCGTTGTGAGAGAAGCAGCAGAAAGCAGCAAACTGTTCACACGTTATAGATACATTCAGTGGTGGGGCCCTCCTTCATAATCTTTGTTCTCGTGTCCCTGAATGACATAAGAAAGGAAAAAAAATCTTTTGTCTCGTCAATAAAAACGATAAAACATTTTTAAAATCCACTTTTTCTCTTTCTTAAAAGTTAAAAAAAAATATATATATATATATATATATATAAACATACCTTTCTCAATTAAATTAATAAAAACCTACGGGTGTATGGTGTGTTTTATTATTGGATTAAAATACTTTTTGTTTCTATATTTTCAATTTTTATTTATTTTTTTTATATCATAATTTAGACATGATGCTATATTTAATATATTTTTTTAAATATAGTAATGATTTTTTATGTTGATGCATGAATTTCGACCAATCTGATTCTTATCTCCAATACACAGCAAACTTGATGATCAGGAACCAAACACCTAAAAAACCAATATCTAAACTGGTGTGATTTTTGTCACACGGRCTCCGATGCCTAAGTAAGAATAATAGGAGAAGTAAAATATAGATGTCGGGTTTTTAGAACATACCCTCAAGGGTCCGGTCCCCCCTCCCTCTTATATCAGTCCTATAGGAATTCTCGTCGAATCTTGATCTTTAGACCCGTTACTGGCGTAACTACGAAACGGTCGTAATTGCAAAACGGGAATTTGTGAAACGGTCAGGTGGGCAGTTATAGTTCTCGGCGGGGGGTCGAGAACTGCTCGGCGACGTGGCGCTAGATCAACGTCGGGATGCTGGGTCGGCTGAGGTTGATGATCTCGAGCCCATTTCTTCTTTAACGGCCCAACCTCTCGTCTGGTTTGGACCGTTTTGTTCCCTATAACATTATATTAAAGGGTTTTCGTTGTGTATAAAGTTTGTATTAAATTTTTGTAAATATTGACTAAAATTGCTACCTTTTCTAAAATACAATGACAAAAACAAACGTTTTGAAAGTATAAATACTAAAATGAAGTAATGGTGAAAGTATTGGAACCAAAATAGAGTGCTGGATAATAAATATTTTTCATGATTGGTCCTAAATTTTAAAAAATATTTTTAGTGCTTCTTGTAGAATAATTTAATATTTTTTTTCTTTTATTTCTTTTCTCCTTATATTTTATGTTATTCTTCTTGGACTATAATCACTCTCCAATATAGTGTAACCCATTTAAACAACTATCTTATGACCAGAATCCTAAATTTTAAATTATTATGAAAAGTGATAGATATCATTTTTTTAATTTAAAAATTATAGATATTGAATTACACTTGACTTATAAATCGTTATTTATTGATAATTCAAATATGGTCACATTTACCTCCAATCTTATCGCTTAGATTAGACAACACGACAATCTTCTCCGAAAAAGGCAAATATCATAAAATAATATTAAATAATAAAACAAAATTTATGTTTAATTTTTTAATTAGAAGGGATATTATAAAATAGTCTAAAGAGGTACATCGTGACTTGTCCCATTAATTTTGTCAAAAGAAAATAATTATATATTGCAAAGGGAAGTAATTATAATTTTCTCTGCCCAAAGTGAACAGTTTGAATAGAAAGTCTTAGATTCTCACTCCATCCTGAAGAAAGAAAAAAAAAAACTTTAAAACACTTAACAAACACAGAATTGAAAGTTACAAACACAAATCGGTGTCTAATAGATATTTTAATTTTAATAAAATGTCAAATAAGGGAAGAACTTATTAAACACAAAATTAAAAGTTTATAGACATATTAGAAAGTTCTGAAAGTTCAAAAACTAATTAGACGATATAAAATTAGAAATTCTTAGACGTATCAGACACAACCCTAAAAATTCAACCACTAAATTAGTAATCTAACAAACTTTCTATGGTAACCAATTGGTAGGCCATGTTTGGGGGAGGAAATCAACTTTTTCCTACTTTACCCCATTTTTAGAGGTTATTTTCATTTGATCGAGAGGTGTCATAATCATAATTTACTTTCATCGTTTTATAATCGGGTGCACATATATGATTGTTAAAAATACACTTATTTTTTCTTTTAAAAAAAGTCATCAATTCCATTAGGTCATTTATGTTTTAACATTTTTGGATTTAGTCTTCACTATCGTTAAATGTTAAAATTTACTGATGATGAATTTACATGACATATATACTTATTGAATTGATGGAAATTTAAATGAAAAAAAAAGACATCCAAGAGAGAGAAGTTTTGTCATTCATTGTCCAAATTTCTAAGTAATTGTAGTTTCGAGTTTTATAACCTTTTTTCTCCTCTAACTTTTCGCAGGTTCATTAAATATTATATCATGTAATTTTGTTGTTAGCTAATTTTAATATTCACCAACAGTGAGGGTTAAATTGAAAAATATTAAAACATTAGAGACCGCATTAAAACTTTTTAAATAATAGAGACTAAATTGAAAAAGACTCGAACGTCAGGGACTCAAAC